TAGCTGCTCTGCAACAATAACCCAATCTGTGGAGAATCCGTTGGACAGATTTTGGGCTCATCCCACAAACTTTGGGCACTTATGCAGTCGTTAATCTGGGATCCATTTCGATGCTCCTCTTGACAGCCCTTTTTGTCCTCTCCAATGAACTGCACAATGATTCTGTTGACTGTCGAAAGTGGGATTCCCAAATTCTGCAAAATTTACCGCTGACTTATTCCACCATCTGCTTGACCAACTATCCTTCCTCTAACAAAATCTGACAATTCGAGAGAACCTGGAGTTCTAAGCATGTTGTAGCACAAGATAATTAGTGTGTGGACCATTTTCATTTATATAGTGCTCTGTGAACACAAATTAGTTAGCATAAATCAGTTAAATGACGAAAAATTAGGTATCTATTTACTTGTGACCACTCAGGGTATATTGTTGATTCTTACTCTCGAGAATCTTCTACAACTTTGGAGAATAGACAGGAGTTTTGCAATACATATTTAACACTATAAATTATGTATGTTTCTAAATATAAATTTAATCTAAACAAACGTCCATATTAAAATAAATATATAATAAGAAATCCGTCACATAATCATTAAAATGAACTATCAAAACCTAGAAATTTGTAGAGTCTACAAAGTACATAAAAACAACAAACCTGCAAAACTATGAAATTCGACCTAAAACAAGAAGCAATACCTAAAATACAAAACCATTAAAGGAACTTAGAAGATAAAAGACCCGTAAATATTGAACTTATAATTCCACTCAAATAACCAATAAGTCTTTGGACTCGAAAGTAAAACCTACCCTAAAGAACATGAGAATAAACAGGCATCCATTTAACAATAACAAATGTTGACTCAAATCTAATCCCCAATTAGATGTTACTAGTAATAAAGAAAAAAGAACTTACGAATGAATTAACATAAAAAGTGAAAAAAAAAGTATAAATAACAAACCAACACACCTCCAAAAATTACTGAAGTTAGAATTACCCAAACAGTAACTAACATGCAAAATCCATACATATACTGAAAACAAAGTAACAAACAAACTCTAAATACAAAGTTAAACTAAAATAACTGAGATGATAAAAGCATTATAAAAATCTAATTTACCTAATACAAAGCAGAGAAGACATGAAAGACTTAAATTATCTTGTGCGGAAATTAGGCCCATCCACACAAGCTCACATAAACTCGCTAAACTTGGGTATACCAACTGGGTGTGAGAAATACATGCTGGAAACTTACCACAGATCTCCAGGGAAGAAGAAGAATACCTAACCCAGCAGATAACAGAGGTGTGGTAACAGGTGGAAAGTACCATAGAAAGAAATTTGCACTCAATAGTTATATCTTTCTTCACAAAATATTGTAACAGGAAAAGAAGAAATGTTCGGCTGTATGTATGACACGAACTCCCCATGAACAGATATCGTTGACCTGGAGACTCCTGTCAGAACCATTGTCTACTACTGAGGGGATATTCTTCATCCACCATATTAAATCTCAAATTCATACGAACACATTAGAAGTTGGATAACGGAAATATTTCTAAAACAAATGAGTAGAAACAATGGAAATCAAACATAAGAAGTCAAAACTGGAAGTTGATCAAGCACAATCAAATTGTTGAAGTTACATGGAGAGCGAGTTAAAACACACATTTTTACACTAAAATGCCAACAGAGAAAGTGAGGATTGTGCTAGAATAGTAGAGGGGAGCTGCCTGTGCTAGTATGCTAGTATAGATGGTGCAGTATGACTGATGGATGGTAGACACATGATCAGTACATGTTCTGAAATGGAATGAAAATGAAGAGATATAAAAGACTGGTGTGCTGTTAGTGATAAAAGTTTTAGCAATGCTGAGAGGACAAACCAAGGTCAAGATAGCTTTGGGAGAGAGGAGGTAGTATAGTTTTGGAATTAGATAGTAACAAAAGTTTATGTCAGCTGTTTCTACCATACTTGTACAAAGGTATAAAAAAACAAACTTAGTCTGTAGCATAGGATAATGTCTGCTGTTTCTGTATCACCTCTACAAAGGTATAAAAAACATAAACTTAGACAGTAGCAGAAAGAAATGTCAGTTGGTTTTGTTTTACTACCTCTATGTAGATATCAAAAGTAGAAACTCAGACTGAAGCAAATGGTTATATCATTTAAATTTGTCTGTTGTAGTATATCAAAAATAAAATCTTAAGAATGCTGCAGAAGATTATGTCATAAGATTTTGTTTATTGTAATACTTTTGCATATGTACGAGAAATAAAAAAACCTAAATTGTAGTAGAAAGTTATATCATGTGTTTTTTATCAAACACCTATAAAGATATAAAAAGCTAAAACAACTGTTTGGTTTATTCTTTGCATAACATCTACAATGGTATCAAAAACAGAAATTTAGAATGGAACAGTAAGTTATGTAATTTGGTTTAATCTATTATAGCAATTCTGAATTTATGCCAAGATCATGATTAACACCAGTTAAATATGCATTAGAATATTAAATAACACCATTCAGACATGCATATATCTACCCTTATTCACAATAGCTGTATATTAGCATGATAATTGGCACTAAATATATATATATATATTTTAATAATATCACTAACATGAGCAGCTAAACGTATACGAAATCCATGACTAATGCTGTCCAAGAATAAAGTAACCCACTTTAAATGCACATAAAATCTTTAATGTAATGAACTGAGTATTACAACTTTAATCAATAGCATTATGAAGATGCAACTACATAACCCTAATACATGGTTTGATATAAAAAAGTTACTTATAAATTTGTGATTTGTAAAACTTAAGTTCTTTGGTTGCTAGTACTAACTACCGTACTAAAAATGTGAATTATAATAACTGGGGTATAAACTGCCCAAAAGAGTAAAATACTTGAGGAAATTTAGGCAACTAAGAAAAAATACTTTGTTTCTTTAGGATAATAATTCCCTGAGATTTAGATTTCACTTTACCACACAAGTCTATACATTGAAGATTCTGAGTCTTACTTTAGCAGCTAATCCAGCTTCATAAAAGGCTTTATCAGCAGGGATTATTTCTGTATGTCTTAAAAGAGACACTGATAGTTTTGTTGCTTGTTGTTCCAGTTCTGCTTGACCCTGACAAGCTGATCGGGTAGTGTAGTAGTGGGCTATGAGCAAACAGACATCAAAATCTTCTTCTGGCAAACCTTCCTTCTCAAGGTTTTCACACTAAATGAGCATAAATTATGAAAATGTAGAAATGAAAAGCAACTCAAGGTTGGTAACTTTTATAAAAATTTTTTAATCCTAAACAAACGTTTAATATTCTTCGCTTATATTTATTTAATGCCTTAAAAATCCAAATACTTGCTGATGCTATCAGGAGAATGACTTAATTTTTTATATGAGATAAATTTATGTGCTGTGGTAATTAATTTAAAAAAAAAGTGAAAACAACTTATCAGAGGAACACTGCATTTATTCCTATACTGCCAAAATGTTTTAAACACACCATCTTTGTTCAGCACAGAGTAATACCACTTTTTATTTTGTTTATGGTATTACTTCATTATTATAGAAGCAGAGGTAAACTTAGGCACAAGAAGATGAATTGTATTATTTGACATCACAAGGTTGTTACATTAGTGGTAAATAGAGGATTGCAACTAATATTAATTTCCAATGAGAGCAAGATGTACTTAGAGGGAAATTAAAAATCAACATATCTAATCAAATACACCCTTCTTGCATTTCAACTTAAAAAGATTAGAATGCATTGTTTCATCAGTACCCTCACTGTTAACAATATTTTAGCATCTCTACACATTAAAAGGTCATTACATTTCTGTGTGATAGAAGGCTGTCACATTCCTAGAATAGGGGGGTTTTGACATACCTACAACAGAGGGTTGCAGCATCCCTAGACTGTAATTTGTATGCTTCTTTCTGATCCATAGTAATTCATACCAAAATTCTACAGTGTCACAGAATTTATAAGATTCTCTGTCTTTTCCTAAATTACTAAAATTAGACAGATCCATGTTCTGAACATTAAAATCCTGATAGCTTATGCCATTGTCAGATCTTTCAGTGTACCTGAATAACTTTACAGTAAATCAAGATACAGTACCCAAAATAAATCTGGGTCCAACAAGAAAAAGTAGGACTAATTTTCCTACAAAGACTTGCAAGAATGGCAACTACTGAGTGTATAAAAAATTAACTGCTTTATTGTTCACATATAGTCTTATTAGTTATTCACTTTATAAATCATATCAGGACATATTTGCACATATTAGCTACTAGGCATAATTAAATGTGGAAGGAGTAGGCATTATACATGTTTTCATAATGGTACATTTATTTTTCACATCTATTTTAATACTGTTAATTCAAATGAGTTAATTCCAGTTAATGGCCAGAAAAGTGGTAACATCAACCAAAGAGTTTGCATATTTTACAGAATAAAAATAAAACTCAATGGCACATTGCCTAGAAATTTAACTGTTTTGAAGGGTGCAATTCAAAGAATTTTTTACTGCAGCTGAAATTTTAAATTCAAAAAAGATGTTCACAAAAACTATCCTAATGAAAAGGAAGTGTTATTTAAAGAATTTCAACATAAATTGTTTTAGAAAAATTCCTTAAAATAAATGCAGAAATACAAGACATGAATAGAGTTAAAATCAGCAAAAGGTTGTGGCCAAAAAGCCCAGTATTTGTGTGACACAGACAAGTATATTAACAATCACAAAAATTGGAAAAACAAATGAGGTAAAATGCCACAGACTGATAATGCAGATTTTTTATGCGTAGAAATGACCATAAGAAATTCACGTAAGAGTGAAAAAACACAACTTTAATATGTATATTAGTAGATCTATAATGATTGAATGCTGCAGGAGTCAGAGATATTGACAAATGAGCAGATTCATGGTGGATGTATGTTTAATTGACTCTGGATAATGGTCCAAAACATAACATCCTGCTGAATAAGAGGTATATGGAGAAAAGGCAAGAGCTGCTAATATAAAAATTATATAATGACTTGCCCAAATCTAAGTGTTCACTATAGTACAAATTAGTAACATCAATGAAGAAGCCAACTAACCTAAGGCAACTTTGTGAGAATGTACAACAAAAATGAAAGGAAATACCAAGTTCATATTTTCAAAAAATTTATATACATTTATATATGATCATTGTTGTCATGTAATTAAGGCTAGAGAAGACATCAATAAACACTGATTACTCATGTCCCAAAATGTATTCCTTATGTGTTATATAGAAATTCTCTGAATATATACAATATTCAAACAAAACAACTATTTTCTTTTGCACCTTTCGTGAAAACTTGAGTGTTGATACCTTGGATTCAGATGTTTGTCTCGTGCTGTATATCTCATTTTGCTACAGTGGCTTTATTTAGGTATGCACATTTGAAATAACTAGGTTACTCTTATTTAATGCCCTTACTAAGAAGAGAGTCAAACTGAATATAAATGTTCACATTATGTTAATAAAGTTTTTATACTCTTGAATAAAGATAATGCATTCTACTGTGTGCAATTGGTTTAGCATATATGCAGATAAGAATAGATATTTCCCCATGTATATAAATGCAACTATTAAAGAAAAACTATCTATCAGTTAGTCTTACACACACCAATAATACAACCAGAGGATTTATTTTTTATTTTATTAATGAAAACTTGTGACTGAAGAGGATCTACAATGCATTTCAGCAAAATGATACCGGCATATACAACATTAGGTACATCAAGATCATTTTGTTATGTACTAATAATGTTTTTGCTAGGACACACCTGTACTTTTGAGTTTTAATCATTAGTATTCTGTTCTGGTAAAATATTTCCAATCTGAAATAACATCCTTGCCTTTCTGAAAGTTTTCTTGATTCACTGCTTCAATATGATAGTAAAGAAAGACATATCATAGCCTCTTAGGTCTAAGGCATGCTGCTTGTCAGTGTATATTTTAAAGCTCAATCTTATGTGTAGAAATCCCCATTGATTTTGTTATAAAAGAACAAGTTAAGAAATTTGACAAAATGAATAAAAGATAACATTTTTTCATGCAGAGCATTAAATTTCAGTGACTAATATAAGTTTCTGCATCTTTTTCTTGGTGGAACAAGCATTTGTGAATAACTTCTAACATTTCTGACATACAAAAGAAGTTTCATTAGACAAAGTCAATATAAAACAAAAAAATATCATACTTAACATATTGACAATATACTTATGTGTAACTGAAATAAAAAAAAACATCAACTACAGCAATGCACAGAATAAAACAATTGCTTTACCTAAAGTTTCATACAATAATTTCCCAAAATTCAACTTACCAGATCAAAAAGCATATCTCTTAGGTCAGCCCAGGTTTTGTAAGCATCTGCACTGTTCAAACCTTTCATTTGAAGGACATCACTCACTATCCGCTTGTAGATGTTAAAGTTTTGAGGAAAAGCAGGAGTTCCATAACGAACATAGAGCTGAAGTGCTTGCGAAGATTGTTGTTCTTTGATGAGCTGAGTAGCATATAATGCAACATACTTGTGAAGAACTTTAACTCCCTAGAGAAGAACACTGTAATTTTAAAACTGGTGATAGCAAGGCTAATTCAGGTCTGCTTCTAATACGAATGCCACACAACAAGCTCATAATTTCAAAGTAAATATCACTTTGATAAATAGTATATATATTTGACCCATCACTGATCAAATGTGATTTCAAAGTAAATATCACTTTGATAAATAGTGTATATATTTGACCCATCACTGATCAAATGTGATTTCAAAGTATCAAAAAAAATTTGCAACATTATTTGTTATTTCAACATACTTTTAAGTTTTAAGTCATCAATTAGTTTCTTCAAGTAACTAATGGAAAACATTTTACATTACCTGTTGTTCAGCCATGTCTAGACATTTCTTCCATTGACCTTGTTCAGCATAAGTGTCTAACCCAGCAATAACATCCACACTTGCTAATTGGTCTGTCCTTCCTTGCTTTTTTAAAAAGTTCTTGTAGTTATCATCCACATATTCTTCAAGTCTACATTGAAGATCACAAGAACATATTTGTCAAAATCTTGAAAACAATCAGAAAATTATACATATGTATATACTATGATAGCCAACACACACTTTTATGATAATGTTCTGAATGAAACTCAAAAGCTTAAGTGTTAAGAAATGTTTGACAACTATTTCTAAATATTCCTGTTAAATTCAAAAGTAAACATATCCAAACACACATCACTAGCTACTCATTTTTACACAGCTAGAAATGAATTCTCAGAGTAGAAATAAAGACATATATCATTGAGTACTCAGTTTTATGTATCTAGAAAATAAATTATCTGAGAAGAAAAAAATGACACATATCACTGATTACTTAGTTTAACACAGTTATAAATGAATTCTGATATAATGAATTCTGAATTATAAATGAATTCTGTATAAATCTATACATTATCACAATATTTTCCTCAACATATAGATATCAATATACCTTGGTTCTAACTCTTTAGCTACTTTCTTGGCCTTTGTCCATTCTTCTGCAGCAATAAAGGCATCAATAGCTTCCTTCACTTGGTCAATACTGAGGTAGAGCTGAGCTGCCTAAAATAAGTAAAATCAAACATAAATTTTCTATAAATAATGTATGCAAATTACAGCAATACCAGTAACTTTCTTTACTTATTCAATGGTCAGAAACTACTGAGCTGACTAAAATAAAAAAGAATATACATAATACATTTTGTAATGAAGACATACATGCAGTAATATAACTACCTCACTGCTGTTATTTCTGTATATCTAATGTTATAGAAAAAATGCACTGTATCATGCACTATTAAAATTCTCATAAAACAACCTATGATATTTTTATAAGTTTAGATTATTTTTGAATATGTAATATGAAATTGTCCCTACAGAATCTGTAAAATTTCAGGATATAACGTTGGTTTTTCAGGGATTCATCTTTGTTCCACATTATTATTATCATCTAGGTGTATATTTACTTTCCATTGTAATTAACATTACTATGGTACTTTGCAAAAAATAATAAAGTGCCAGATTATGTTTGAAGCTTTATTACATAGCTCTTAAAAAGTGCTGCTTAATCTACATAAATTAAAAATATAAATTTATTTAACTTTGCATACATATTCACTTCAAACCCAAGAGACCAGGGAATTGAGAATCATGCAGTCTCCTAGGTACGACACAAGTATTAGCACAGAGCTATCGATCCAGGGACCCAACATCTGGTATCGAAAGGATGTCTATTGCAATTCCCCGTACCACATCTGTGACTCATAACACAGATGGGGGAAAATCAAAGGAGGAAGATAGACAATCTGAAACATGTGTGAGGACTTATGTTGATTGGTTCTACTCTAAATCCAAAACCTGGCCGTACAGGGGTAGGATGGGGACACCCAATCAAAGGAGTGGACTGCATTTTGACCTATCGCTCCTTTGTAATGGTACACTGCAAAGAGGAGGATATCATATCATCTACACACACAGAACACCATTGCCCTACTCTGTAAGTGAATGGTTATTGTGTGGAACTCATTTAGCAGGGTGCCTCTATGGTCAACCACCCCAGTGGCTTGGAACTGGTAATTAGTAAGGACTCCCATACTCCATTCGAAGAATAGAGGGTGACAATGCAGTAGAGAGTCCGGAGGAATGTCATCACCTGAGACAGTGCAATGGGTGACTAGGAAACTTTATTTGAAAAAGCAGACCATACCGAGATATTCACTCCAGGCATGGCAGGGATGGGCAGCATTCTCCTTCTGCTTTACACATGCAGTCCATGGGTGGTACAGTCCGAGACAGGCATGTTTATGAAGCAAAATATCATGAGGTCATGCACCTACAAGTTATCTTATGGAACACCCCATCTTAACAGTGAGCGTGCAAAGTCATGGAAGATAAAGTGTGAGTCAACATGGCTGGACAGTACAGATTTTGAGTTAAAGAATACCTGGTCTGGCACCACTTGCCACAAAGCGGAATCCATATAATAAGGAATGAAGAAAAAAAACCCTGAAAATAGAATAAAGTATGAATAGAAACTTACCAGTAAGAGTCACACTGAATTTTTAAGAATGGCCACAGGTAGAAGACAAAAACTCGACAAAGAGAAAACCACGATATGATGTAGATAATGAGAGATGAACATATTGGATGTGATCCACGTGCCTTGTTGTAGAATTCCCTTCAATGGATGCAGAAGATGAGAAGTGATGGAAAAGGAGAGGTGTCTAATCTGAACAAATTCCAGAAAGAAGAAGGCAACGAGGAATAATCTTTTTGGGTCAAAAGTCGGACCCAATTAGTAAGGGTTGAAAGCAAAAGGTCACAAAGGGAGGAAGACTGCCAGGGGATAGAGTCAGTGATGGAAGTCAGATGGGCAATATAACAATGAAGAGCCCTGACTGGACACAGAAGCCTATCCTGATTCTGTCAAGGGTAAAGATGAGAAATGGAAGGAAGGGAAATAGGCGAAAAGGAGGAGCCACCCTCCCCAGCCACAGAAGTCTTTGGGAGGGAGGAAGGAATGATCCGGATAAAGGAGATAATAGGTAGGGAGATAAAGTGTACTGTCAAAGGCAAACAAATCTGACCATTGACACCCAAAGGCTAAAAGGAGAAGGAAATAGGTTTGAAGGGAGAGGTGAAACATGGAACATGAGGAAAGTGGTTCAAACAGAGGTAAAGTGAGGGAATGGAGTGCCACATTAACCTCCCAGTTGGAAGGGTAGGTTGCCAGGGAAGGTGATGCAACCGGAAGGAACACAGTCGCATGGCAAGGACAGGTGAAGTAAAAATGCTACAGTGTCCGGAAAAACAAAAGGTATGGGACAAAGCCACCTGATAACTGTAAAGCGAGGAGACTGAGGACCTCCGGTCAAAAACCAAGTGAGATAATATGCCACCCGAGCCACAGAAAGTGATTGGCGGGAAATCCCACAGATGTACCCCAACTGCAGAACACCTTCCACTTGTGCTGACACACCTCCATAGAAGAAGGACATATGGAACCAGCTAAAAAGAAAATGACTCGATTGGAGAAAATGGAACTCTTTGCCAAAAACTGGAGAAAAGCCAGGCATGAATAATCATAGCATGAAGGGCAGGATGGAAGACCTGCGACCAAGGTTGAAGAAGAAGGTAGGGAGAGTAGCAGGTGCTGTAACTGTGGAAACAATGTCTGTGCTGGCCAATAAGAAACAATCAGAAGAACCTGACAAGGAGTGGTATGGATGAGAAAGATCACCCACTGAAGTAATAAAGATATTGATGGGACCAATCATGGCTGAAGGCATCAACTGTCAGAGCCTGAGGATAAGGAACTAGCAACCAAAAGAATTTGAATTGATGTTCCTAGCAAATACATCCACGTGGGGAGAACTCCACCAATTGCAAAGCTCCCTGAAAACATGGGGTTCTAAGGACCACTCTGTCAGATACATCCAGATGGAGCGGAAAAGATGATCCACGACAAGAGTGAAAGTGCCTGGCACATGACACACAATGAGATGAATGCTTTGCGTGTGACCCTAGTATAAGAGATCCCATGTCAGAAAACATAGATCTCTTGACCGAGCGCCACCTAGGTCAGTGATATGTGCCATCCTCATAGATTTGTCCAAAAGAACCATCACCAGAGAATGTTGGGTGAGAAGGAAATGATTCAATGCCCGATGTACAGCTAGAAGTTCAAGAACATTGATATGCAAAGCGCTTTCGTCCACAGACCAATGGCCCGAAGTTTCCTGGTGGTTGGTCAATGCACCTCAGCTTAGGAGGGATGCGTCTGTGAAAGGATGTGGATTCGGACTCAGAGGATGAAGTAGCATACCCTCTGAAGTATGTGCCTCATCCAACCACCAAAGCAAAACTTCTCACCTGGTAAGATGAAGGGTAATGGGAAGAGAAAGAGGATCCCGTGCAAGGTTCTATAGATCTGGAAGAGTCTACTGGAGGAATCTCGCATGGGCAGGGCCAAGAGAGGCCAGTGATGTCATTGAAAACCACATCCCCAAAGGCGATAGAACATTGCAAGCAGTAAGTGATGAAACCAAGAGGGCGTGGTGAACTAACAAGTCCACAGAACACAATCTGACAGGAGAAGGCTGGACCCAACTGATACGATTGTAAAAAAAAAGACACCCAAATATACGAGATATTGAGTAGGTCAATCAATGAAGATAAAGACAGAACTGAGGTGATATAGGTAAATGGAGATAAACCTTGACAAAATCCATCTTGGTCAACCATAAACCCGGAGAAAACACCTACCTCCGGGTAAAAAACGACTCCATGGTAAACTGGAACAGATTACCGAAGCTGTTGAGGTGAGATAAATCTATAGGAAGGGGATCACGAATCCTTCTGACCAAACCTGAAGAACTCATTGATCTTCGACAAAGAAACCCTAACTATAAGAAATCAGCAAGCTGAACTCCCATTGGACAAGAATAGTCTGGGTAATCACTGGTACTGTTGGCAACGTGAGGTGCATCATCGAAAAAACGATGAGAAGAGGCACCCCAAGAAGAAGGGACAAGTAAGGGTTTGGAAGGGGGAAGGATGGGAAACAGTGACAGGAGGAATATGGGGCTCTGATTGATACAAACATGCAACAATATTGGTAAGAGTAGATTGCTGTTGAACCAATGACTCTATTGTTACTGGGATTGTGTCAAAAATGATTGCCATTGAAATGGGGCCATACATAAATACAGTCAACTGTAAATGGATCCAAGCAAAGTCTGCATCATGACCTAGAAGGTCCCAACAACAGAGAAACTATGTATCCTAAGCCAATGATGACAAACTAGCTAGTGTGGAGGAAAGAAGGGAAAGGAAATCCCCTCAGGATTTCCATGGAGAGCCTCAGAGAGCAGGTGTAGAGAAGAAAGATACCATAAAAGAGAATTCCAGGTGAGAATTCTTGGCATGGGCAGACTTACAGGTGATTTAGGAGCCGTCCGCCAAACATGCAATATGGAACCTAACAGTTGTTGGTCCAAAAAGGGACAGTCAGCACAATGGTCTGAAAGCTCAAACTGATCTGAAGTCCATGGGGGGCAAGGAATGCTAAGCCCATCTCTTAATTGCGAGGTAATTTGATCAGCATGAATCTGAATATCAGGGGAGGAAGGAAAACGAAATGGGTAGAAATAATAGTCATGTAGTAAGGAATGACATGGCTCATAAATAAGAAGAGAAATGGATAAAATGTCACATACCTGAGAAACAAATCCAAAAAGACCGAATTAGGCCTAACTGATCATTTAAGTGGGGAACGGGAAGATACGATAAAATCAGGAGGCAGAAATAGATGATCCAAGTCCCTGTTATTCTGAACAGGCTCTGCCTATTTGGGAGGAACTGGGGTGAGGTCCAATGACAAAGATTTGCCCATTCATGATGTCAGCCCCTGAAGAAGAAAGGTCCACCTTTCGAAAGTGCTCGGGTTATAGGATTTTTATTCATTTCTATCAAGACTTCTTGAACCTATGTGTTTTTCTAAGATCATTTAATAAATATTAGTTAGTGATGAAAAGAAACTTAGAATCAACAACTTTGTACATAGTTAAGGTATAACAGATATGTTTTCCACATAATATATATAAAATTTAATTAAAATGACCAGAAATACAAAGTAATGTTTTGCCTCTGGTATTCTGTTCTTCTTTTAACTTAATTTTTTACCTGTTGCAGTATAGGTAAAGAGATACTCTTTACACAAACATACATGAAAAATTATGAATACAGTCATCTCTGCTCAAGATATAGCATCAATTTTCATGTCACATATAAAATTAGATATTCTCAGAATCTCAAAACTTACTGCAATATACTTTTTTATTTCAATAAGCTGAGGAGCTACTCGACGTATAACTTCTTCGGCTCGGAGACTATCTAAGAATTTCAGAGCCAAGTCAGCAGCCTGGAGGAAAAAAACAATGAAAGATTTTCACAGTTACAATAAGACATTTTTAAAGAAGTTTTACAATAATCTAAGGTTCTATATTCATCCAATACACTTCAAAATTAATCTTGGCAATTTTTCTAAAACACTTTAGTCTAACACTTTTCATAAAATTGTAAAGTGCTTGTTTAAAAGTTTAACCTTTTTTAAACTTTTAGATATTTTTTCTACTAATAGTTGGTCAAAAAAGATTGATTTGATTTTTGTCCAATAATTCTATACAGTACGTGTGTCCAATATGTTATATATATATGTTAAACATATTTGACAAGCCTTTACAATTTGTTGAACACGTTAGTTTGTTCTGTTTCAATGAGTGATCTCTAGCCAACAATTTCACATGAAATGGTATTGTTATATATTGAGTGAAACTTACCTTTGTCCAAGATTTCTCAAGTAATTCCATGTTGTTAGTGTGTTCCACTGACAGCCTGATGTAACACTCCACAGCTTTCTGATACTCCCCACTAGTTTCCCATTCCTGAGCTTGGGACAGTAAGGAATCTGAATCTCTATATAAATAAGAAATTCTGAAACTTTCACATACAATACAAAAATATTTTCATGTAAAAAGTTTTCCTTTTAATTGTCATACTTCAGGTAATGTTTCTCGATAAAATCACGAGTTTCATATAAGCTAAATATATGTTATGTTTATTTGATGATAGTGTCATTATTACACTTGTTTTTTAAAATGCAATGCTTAACAGGTTCTGATACACATTTAATAGCAAGGAGGTTTTTTAATCTCAATTTTAAAACATACTAATTTTAATAGCTTGTCAAGTTATTTTATAAATAAATGGTAGTATCATAGAAATATATCACTGCAACCAAATTTCTTAATCTACCTTGATCCTCTTGAAGACATTTCATGTTCATATTCATCCTGAAGCTGAGACAGTCGACTTGGAATGTAATCTTTACACACTCTCAGAGCCTCACTCCACATTCCAGCATCCTGTAGAAAGCAGTTTCAATTACCAGTCACATCAATTACAAAATACAATTTATATTTGATTTTAGTTTGTTTAAAATAATGATATGAAAACATTGATAATAGAGAATCATGTTTTCCTTTACAATGAATGTGTAGGAATGCTGTATGTAAAAGTAGTGAAAATAAGAAACTAAATTTTAATAAATTATGTTAAAAGGTAGTAAAGTTGATAAATTAAGTACCTTATAGAACTTCACAGCAAGCTCAGCTCGCTGAGCACGAAGAAGAAGTGATTC